AGTCCCGCGGGACTCCAGCTGGTCTCAGAGTCACATAAGCAAATAGCAACTTCAGCGAGGTCTCCTGGTCAGCTGAGCCGCGCTAGCCACTGCAGTGCTGGTCTCAGTGTCTTCAGCGTCTCTGGGCACGGCAGCTCCAAAAGCAGTGCCACCCCAAGCATGCCCCAGACACCCCTTAGTTCTTCCTGAGAAGGGGGGGGGGAGCGCTTCCCCCAAACTCACCACCGCCTACCCCTTGGATGGTATTCAATAGGACACAATAGTACTCAATAGTACTCAATAAATAGTTCAATATTCAACTCCCGAGGGCTCCTGGTGTCTTCCGTGTCCTCAGAGCTCAGTTCTTTTCCAGCATATCTCAAGCAGCCCTGACACACGAACAGCACGATTTCCAGCAGCAGCGGAGGGCGCTAGCCACGATATCCTCGGCTGATCAGCTGATCAATGTCTCAGCAGCTCAGATGTCGGCTCCAGCGTTCCCCGGTGAGTGGACAGACCGCCCGGCTCTTAGTCTCTGGTGGTCAGCATACACACACGCAGCCCCACGCAGCCCTGGCTCCCCAGTTCCCGAACGTCTGGCTGCAGTGTCTCCGAGCAGCAGCGGGCTTCCCTGTCAGCAGCGTCGGTAAGTCGGAGGCTTCCCCGTCCGCAGCGTCAGCATCGGCGTTTTCTGTGCCTAGCAGCTCCGGGGAGACAAGTCTCCCCCACGCGCTGCTGGCACGGATGTTCTGGGGGGTTTCTATCCTCAGCCAGCGTGGAACCAGGCCCCTGGGCAGATATTTCCCTTCCCTCTAAGTTATTTTCGGAAAAACCGAGCTGGAGCGAAAAGCTCGGCAGCCATCTTCCAAGGACATGCGCACAATCCAATCATGCCCGCATGATGCAAAATGCCACATGGAGATAAAGCATACCCTCTTGCCTAGTCCCAATACTAAAAGATGGCTATTCCTGTTTATAATTGTAGAGGGAAGAGGAACTCTTTGTAGTTTTGAGGCACCGGTGTAAGAGCTGCTACTAGGGCATTAGGATCTGCTATTAGAACAGTTAGGATGAGGATTTCTGTTGCTGTGAGATGTGAATATAAAGAGGAATAACATTGCTTTGTGGCGGCAATACCTGTGTTCCAGTTGTCATCATTAACTGAATCCCGCGGTCATTAGGTGAGGCAACTTCCAGCTGACTTGCTACAGCCAAAGTCAGTGGGAGAAGTTGTGATTCCCAGGCTCACAGAAAGGTAAGTGGCTGATGTGAGGGAAGATTGGGGAGGGTGTTTAAGAGGCATGGGTGCAAAGGAGGACCAAGAAAGTACAAGGGATACAAGAGGTGACACATGGGTTTAGTAGGGTGCATGAGAGGGCACAAGAGTTGCATGGGTTGGAGAGGTGCATGTCAGGAAGGGCAGGCAAGAGGCACAGTATAGGTTAGGGAGTGCCCAGGGGTGTGTAATGTTGCTCAGGGAGGGTACATGGGAGTGAGTGAGTGCAAGTGCAGAGGGCTGGGGACAGGTGCATGGGTGGAGGAGATTTACCCCAGCTTCCCCAGGAAAGGTTCCAAATCATGATCAAATGATTGTGGGATAAATGGCAACAAATTGTTAAGTGCAAACAGGTTGCCAAGTACCCAGATCTTGATCATGTGACTCTAGCAATGCTGGGATGGCAAGAACTCTGAAATCATAACCACCAGTTACTCAGTGCCATTATAACTTGGCAAGTTATTGACTGAATGGTTGTAGGTCAAGGACTACCCATATAAATTTATTTTGTTTCTGATATCAGTTTGCAGAACTTTGTAGTTCTTTGTAGCACCAAGGTGTGTATAACACTTCATTTTTAAACATTCTGCGTGTGAAATCTTAGAAAAAGCACCATTTTGCAAATGAAACTGAACTTTATATAGATTTACATGTACATTGAAACAGGCTGCACACCTCTTATTCTGACCTCCTTCAAACAACATTGTGCAAATTTAAACTTATTCCTCCATATAATTATGCTTTTCTGACTTATAGGTAATCCTCAATTTATGAATGGTCACTTAATGACTGTTCAAAGTTACAACAGGCTCAAAAAAGTTACATATTATTTACCTTTAAATTGCATGCTGAGCATTTGCTCACAATTATAACTGGATGCAGCATCCTAAAGTCAATTTTTATGTTTTGCAATGTTTTTGCAGGGTTTTTTTAAACATTCATTTACAACTATGTGAATCACTTAATGAATCATGTGATTCATTTAAAGCTCTTCATAAGAATACTTGTAAAATCAAGTCCAGTAAGGTGATGGCTTATGACCACAATGACATACCACCAACATTCTGGACTCAATTGTGGTTGTAGGTCGAGGACTACCTGTTATGATATCTTAGATCATAAAGCTTATGGGATTATAACTTGAATTTGAACTTGAAATTCTCTCTCAAGACTTTTCAGATTACAATAGTAAATTTTAACAGCTAAAGTTCTTCAATAGCAAAGTATACGTGCAGAGGAACATTTTAAAAAATCAAATGGAATTTTGGCAGAAGATTCCTTTTTGCATAACATGATGCCAAGTTTCCAGTTGGAAAGTTTGGAAACGCAAATGACCTCTGAAAGAAGCATATAGTGCATACCAATAAATAAAAATAAAGATACACATTTTATTCCCAAACATTTTGCTCAGTAATAGAACATACAAAATCCTTCCTTCTTCCTTTTTATCAAAAAATCCTTATCCTTGATATAATGGATGGCTAGGGGAATTCTGCATCACTGCTTTTCTGGTTTGTGACAGAAATGCAACTTCCTTATGGTAGAATCTTACACTGTTATAGGATGTGTGTCAGTGCACATACTGTATATTCCCCAAATAAATCACAGGGTGCTCAAAATAAAGAAGCAGATTCGCATGACAAACAGTTATCAAAGGATGTGTTTTCTGTAGCTAAACATTAAATTAAAAGTAAAAGGATTGCCTAAACCAATTGTCTGTTCATTGCAATATGCTATTAAAATTAAATGAGTCCTTACCTTGAGAAATTAAGGAAATGAACGTGTCTAGTGAATAAATAGGGCTGCTCTGCAATGCTTATGTTTTTAATCAATTCCATCTAAAAACAAAAAGAAACAAAAATTAAGATAAACAGTTCCAAAGAGAAGCCATGAAAAGCTACTTATTTCATTGGGCTCTGACTCATTAGATTGCAGCAAGACTAGCCACAAACAGTAGCTTTGGGGGGTGGGGGGGGGACCATGATTTTTTTCATATAAAAATATTCAACTTTTTTTCCTGAACTTTATAATTTTAAAAATTAATTTCCTCTTCTCTTATTGGGAAATTTATTGGGCATGAAGCACTAATGCAGAAGCAGCAGAAACAAATCAGTCAGCTACCTGAGATCCACGTATGTTCATAAAGCATACAAACACAATGATACGTGCATACGTTTAATGCACTTACAAAAACAGTACATTAAATTTCATTAAATCAGAGCTAATTTCTCCTACAACAATAACTTTTCCAACTCCTAATTTTCATCACTGCATTATGCTCTAAATAAACACAGCAATGTTCTTCATTATTTCAGTCAATTCCTTCACAAATATTATTTGTGTTTAGTTTCCATGGAGATTTTGTTTTTAAAAGATAATTTAATTTTAAGACCCTTCCCTTCCACCCCTTTTTTTGAAAGCTTGAATTGAAGTGATTTCTGCAACTGTGTTCTCCCTAATTTTGCAAAGCCTCAACATATCTGGAACATACTATATTACATCAATCCAAAAGTGTTACTATTAGATATTTGTAAAAGATTTCTAGACTTTCTTGCCAGGGATTAAAACTTCAGTCAGTTTATTTCATAATCTAAATACTTACATTGTATATCCAAGTGGTAATTTGAAATACCCTGTACAAATTATATTTTCATTATAGCCAGCTGAAATCCCAGAATTGCAAAACTGTGCACAACTGTGCAAAAATACTTTTGGTTAGGTGATAAAAATCAATACATGCATCCTGACCATGTAATCAGTACATCCAAGGTTTGTGAGATGTGCATGCTCAGGACAGAAATGTGCATTGTTTATTCTTGTGGCACAATGCAGGGATGAAATCCACTTACCTTTGCTACCAGTTCGATAGCAATGTGAGCACACGCATGCACTTCCGTGCCTGCACAGACTGCCTGCAAAAGTAAGTGAACAGCGAAGGGGGGAATCCACTGTACCATGTGATTTAGATTAACTAGAAAGCAGGAAATCCTGCTTTCTAGCTAATATAATTCACGCATCACAGCTGATAATCAGAAAAATGGTTTGCCCGAACCGGTAGCATTTTTTAAACTACCGGTTTGGGCAAACCGGTCAGAACTGGTAGCATTTTACCCCTGCCACAATGGTCAAAACACACCAAGACTGACCAGTAGTATTTTACTGTTCTCAGAAGTGCTGCATATGGTTTGGCCAAAACCAATCTACTCCTTCTTTATATTAATAAAAAGTATTTTGTGAACGTCTCAATTGACTAAGTCCGTGTGGCTCAGCAGAGGTCAACAACTATCAGTGTCTTTGGTGACAACCGTGGCATACAGAGAATCATGTCTTGCAATGAAACAGGATTACATGATAAAGACCATCAGTTAACTGATTAAATGTGACAACCATTTCTCATGCAGCCACAAATCCACTGCCAGACAAACTCGTTACCAAAACAAGACAGGTGGAAATAATCACTCTCCCTCCTGCTCAAGAAAATGATTTCTAACCTTTTGTGTGTGAGAGTAGAAGAAACCATTGCAAGAACAAGAATCTTGGTTTCATTATAAAGACAGCTTGCAATCTCTGGAATCTCCCCCCCTCCACTAATTTCTTCATTAGTTTCTCTATGGTAAATCTAGTTAGAACTTTTGTGATCTTGGAAGTTTATATTTCAAATTTCTTGGCTAAACAATCAACAGAAGAGAAGTATAAGGAAAATGTACAGGTAGTCCTCCATTTTATGACCATAGTTGTTGATTGAAACAGTTATTAATCAAGACAACCACAGGATCAGTTCACATACTGACCGCAAGCCTGGCTGTCCCAGCTGGGATAATTAAGTATTAATGTGGGTTGTCCAGCAGAACGCCAGGGAGACGGTCTAGGCCTCCCAGACATGATAGAGTAAGTAGGGGGCACAGCCCCCTCACCACATCCAGGAGACCTGTGCCTTTTTCCAGCCCCACAAAGACCATCCACTTACCTTTCTGTTGTTTGGCAGCTGCTGACGATTGAGGCTGCCTTGTTCCATCCTGTGAGCAGGCAACTATTCTCGTCATTGCCTTAAAGGCTTTTTCTCCAAATAGTGCAATTTGAAGAAGAGCCTTTTAAATGATTGGCAGAATGATGGTGTTCAATTGCATTTTGCCAGATTTGAAGTCCACTCCTCCACATGCAGGAGGAAAGGGAAATTCCTCAGCATGCTGGGGAAATGGACCTAAAACTCAACCTCCCTTCCACCTGCAACCTTTCCTGCTGGCTTCCCCACTGACTTTCTAGGGAAGCTGGCATAGAATATTACAAACGGTGATGACATGTTTGCAAGTTACTAGGAAGAGGTCATAAATGTGAACAGGTTGTCAAGCACCAAAATGCGGTCATGTGACTGCAATGCAAAGTTTTACCATGACCAGCCATACAGTACCCATTCTGAGGCCATTGTGACTGGTCATAAAACGTTAAATGATGTGTGCTGAGAAATTTTTATAAAGGGAAGGAATGTAGCGTAACAGAAATAAAGGATGATGATCTGACCTTTAACATTGATGCTGATGAATACCTCTAAGGAAATGAAAATATAAATTTGATTATAAATGAAAGGGCTATAATGCATGTCAGAAAGTATGAATTGGCATCATTAACTTAATAATAGTTGAATGTTATGCTCTAATGAATGGTAATAGTGGAAGAACAAAAGATGAAACAATTGTGTAGTGAACAGAATAAAGGGGAAAATTATTAAAGACATGAATTGACACATGGGAATGAGGCAAGACACCATTCACACCCATACAAAAAAACCCACTGGTCTCCTCAGAACCTAAAAATAAATGTGACTGGTAACAGGTTTTTTTAGTATCTGCTTACAGAAATGCATGTTTTGAATACATGGTTAAACTTAAGCCTATGCATACATTCGTACACACTGCAAAAGAATGAATATAAGAAAGTGACTGATTTGGTTGTGTAGGATAAAAGATTAAAACAATTAGTCTGATGAGGGTGATGAAAGATTCAGAATGTGGGCCAGATCATTTTTTGGTAGTGCCAAGAGTAAATTTTCGTGGAGTGGGAAATGCATGGAAGAAAGACATGGGGGTGGGGAAATGGGACTAGAATTTGAATGACTGTAGGAACACAAAATACACACTCTATATGAAAAAAATAATGAAACAATGAATGAAGAGTATAAGGAAAGAGGATGTGGACAGAATGAAAATAGTTATATTACAGTGTGCCACAAAACTGTGTCAAGTTATGCTAAGGGGAAGTGCGAATAAGGATGCTTGGTGAAATTATGAATTGAAAGTAGTCATGGATGAGGGGAAAATGGTTATAAAATTATTATTGCAAAAAGAAAGAAGAAAGAAAAAAAGAAAGAAAGAAAGAAATTATTTGATGGTTTCAAATTATAGAAAGATATGAAGAGGTGTAGAAAATGTGTTCATGTAAATTAGATAAGCTATATTTTTCCTCTTTTTTATGTGATTATAATACTCTAATCCAAAAAAGATGAACACATACTATATGTATGTATGAATCAGTGATGTGCAGTCAGGAGAGGCAGGGCCTTACCACTGTCATGAAAAGAAAAGAAAAATTAAAAGGAAAAAGGCAAGAGCTGCTAAAGTAAGGCTGGATT